CGCACGAAGAGCGCACGAAGGAAGGAATAAGACTGCAGCAGTACCCCGCAGTCACTGTTCACTGACCCGTGGAAGTACTCCCATCACCCTAATTGGAACGCTCACAAGTCCTGCCTGTGTAGAATGTCGTTAGTCTGGCCCACTGATGATGGCTTAAGACCACACACAACACAACCACGGCTTCGATCATATAATAGATCGCATTTTATACTCTGCTGGGACATTTTCCTCGACCATGGAATAAAATACCATACGGTTAAACGTACATCCAAAACAAAAACGATCAAAACGGGCTGCATAAACTTCACTTAAGAGAACATAACCACGGTCGGCTTCCCCTCCAAGGTACAAGTTTCGGAAAACAAAAGTTGTTCTTTCTACACACACACCCACACAAAAAAGCTAGATTTTCAAAACGATCTACTGTATAAAAAGTGCCCACACATCGTGGATCTACACACACTGCAAATCCTAATGGATCCTGGCACTGCGCCAAGGCTCGCTGCGCCATCGTGGGTACCAAAATAGACTTGGGATCAAGTCGGTCCTGGTTTGGTGCAGTCCACCTTTCTTGCGACGTGCATAAGGCCACCGTTAATGCAGTCAATAATGCATTCTGTCGTTGCTAGTGCTTGGTCAGAAAATTACCTTGCTGGTATGATATGCGTTATTTCACTTTATCTGTAGCGATTTTTATTTTTAAGTTGGTGCCCTGATTTTGGAATACAAATTTTAGAGGACAGAATAAAACCAAAGTATTTCTACGATCTCAAGACAAAATGAAGGTCTTCAAGTCGGAGGGAATTAAAATACTTTAATTTTTTTTTAAACAAACAAACAAACACCCCAACAAACTAAAAACACAACAAAACAACAACGATAGGCTGGGGGTTTAAACTACATCCCCCCCCCCGCCCCGCTTGTGAGTTTGCTCCTTTGTGGTATGTGTTTTTACAAATATTTTTTCTAAATACCGTAATTTTCGTAAGATAAGCAACGGCTCATACATTGATCCCCACGCCAAAAATGTCCCAGTGGCTCATAATCTGAGTGACTTACATTGCAACATTTGAAGAATGAAATCAATCAGTTAACGTTGCAGCGAAGTTCGGGCCGCCGCCAACCGCACCGCGGCCAGCCACGCGTGCCAGCGGCGCAGAGCTTCAGGCTCGGGCGACAAGGCGGTCATGATTTTGTTGGTTGGCGTTTTATACATTGGCTCTACTCGGAAGTTGGAGATAGTGAAAACAGTCGAGAGACTGCATGGACTCGTAAATGTACCGTAAGTACCGTTCACACCTCACAAATCGTATTGGGTCTGTTCTTTTTTGCCCGTTGTGTAATCCATAATGTTTATCATGTAACTAGATATTTGGTAACTATAAAACCAAAAGAACTGCTGCGTGGTTCACCAGCAAGGCTACTCTTCCTGACCACAAAAAAATTGGTAATTTCGATGACTTGATAAAGTTTAGTTTTAATGACAATGCTTGTCGAAA